TTGCCTGTTAGCAGAACCTGTTCTACAGCACAACTAACGATCGGCGTATTGTAGCACTTTATTGTGCTTATTTAATAAATACTGCATTGGTTGTATGATGATAACCGATGGATAGAGTCCAATCGGTTCGTTACTTTTTATTTATTCAATGTTCAAATGAAGACTGTTGGTAAGTGACCGATCGTCACATGCAAGTGAGATCGGTCGCTCAATGGTTTTGATTAGTTTGCATTATTATTCGGTAACTTTTGCAATAGCTTATATTTGTATTGCCCTCTAGTGGGCCATAGCCATCACAATGAAACTGTTTGTCCCGGTTGAGCATTTGATTGATGTTGAAAATCTGATTGAAATAGTGCTCTTTGTCTGCTTTGATTCGTTATGATTCGTTTGATTTTTAGCATTTTGAATCGATCCTCTACGAAAATGTTTGATTACAAAAATGAGTTGAATATTAGTCAAAAAACGGTGGATCTTTAAAGAAAATTGGCTTTTGAATGAGGATAGTGAATTTATTTCATTTTTTGTTCAAAGAGCAATCTATAGAGCATATACTCTTATAATAATGATATAAATCTGTACATGTAAAATTTTACTTTCGCTTTATTTTTAAAAGAGGAAATTCCAATGATTAAAAACTAAAAATTTTACTTTCGTGTCAAAAAAAAATTCAAAATGATTGCGAACATTAACAGCGGTGTAATATTCTCCGTCCTGCCGATGAATGCGATCTTCATAGCAATCAGTTCTTACAATGGGGGTGTTGTTGGGTAGCAAAATGGAATTGTGGGTCCGTCATTATTAGGAAATTGATCTTGAAGCCAACGATAATGTTTTTTTAAGTCTGTGTAACCCATATATGGTTTGAATTTATGACTCAATAGTCCGACTGCCACCTGATTGCCTTCTCAATTTGTATGGATGAGCGGGCTTCCTATGAATATGAATGATTGAAATGTGAAAAATATCAACTTGAAGTTCAGGATTGCGAAAATAACACCACACATACCGGAGTCCCCCGACTCAGATGTGCCCACCGTATTTTGAAATTGTACACGAACTATGTCTCCTGCACTGGCAAGGACATTGAACGGGCCGTCTTTACTTCTACAGGACCAAAGGAAGCTCTCTTATACTTTCTGTTCGTCTGGCAAGCGTTATTACACATATGTCGTGATGGTACTCGCCCTTTTTAAAAGCATCATGACACTAAACGTGTGATTTGTCTATAATAAAATATTCTCCATTTGTAAGGTATATAGTTGCCTTGCTCAATTCCTTGTAGCCGCAGTGTGCGGCTGATAAAATCTAATATGAAGAAATAAATTAGCCAATGGACAATATCTTTTCTTTTATTTCCGCTGAAAATTTGACAAAATGAGGTTCCACAGAATTTTTTTAAAACTCAATTTTGTTTAATTCTTTATCAGCATTCGAACGTTAGATGCAATTTTCAATTTCCGTGGACCAATTTCAACAAATTTCTAGAATTTCATTTCATTTATTTTAGAAAATCAAAACTGAATTTATTTTTTAAAAAAAGTTCCCTACACTTATATGTTGCTTGGAAATAAAAAAAACCGGAACATTCTACATTGAAACTAAAGAATCCTTCGTCTACATTTATTTTTACGTAGTATGGATAATCAGCACTATTTACGCGAGCATTTATTCTCTCGGTTTCTTTATCAAACTTCATTCCTATAAAATCTTCAATAGAACTTTTTGTCGACACTTGAGTTTGTTCCTCGTTTGATTTATTCGTTACATGCTCAGGTAAGGTTATTTCGGCTGTTAAAAATGTTACAAATGAAATTTCTCACACAAGTTTCTTTGCTCATGAGCAATTGCACTCTTCGTCGACACACAACAAAACTCACCTTTTTTTTCATTTCGTCTGTATGTAGATTGTACAACTCCTATAGCACAGAGAAATGTGAGGAGTATTACAACTTTCATGTTGAATATTTAAATAAACAAATTCGCGAACAAAAGTTACACAAATTTTCACTTTGATGATATTTTCTTTCAGAACTAACGTTGTCACTAATTGAAACACCATCAATTTCTGCTCTGCTAGCAAAGCAAACTATCCGAATATGTTTCAATTTGTACGTGCTTTTTCTTAACTTAATATTGGCATGACGTTATTCAAATGCTAGTGCACTGAATAATTCACAACAATCGACGATTCTGATATTACAACTTTGTGAACGTGACTTTTTTCTAAACTTTACAAAGTCATCTTCGATGTAAGATAGATTTGTTTGTGCACGACTATGGGTGGAATGTTTTTGTCTCGTTTAGCTGCGTTAGCTGTTTTGATTGTGTGCACATTCGATTCACGGCGATCACTTTGAGCTCGTTCATTCGCTTCAACAATCGATTGCTGTGTATTCGTTCCAGTTGCTGCACCTTTGTTGTTGTTTTTGCATACATTGACGAAATCCTGCATCCGAGGAAAGTCCGTGTTTTCGTCGTCGGCATCAAATTCGTCGCAAGACATTTGATTCGTTCTGCTTGTGCTGTTTGAATTCTCTTTCTGAATGTCCGGCACTGTTTTGTTTGCCTTCTTTCTCTTTCTCTCTGACGCTTTCGATTGATCCTTCGTTTCGTACTCGAGTAGTTTTGCAGCGATTTGCTTGAAGAAGAAAAAACACATTATATGGTTTACTTATTGCTTTATTGTCATTTGATAAAATTGTATTAACAGTGACTCCCCGTACTATCCATTAATCCATTGACAGTGGAACACCTTCTAAAATACATATGATGATGTTATAGTTAGTTTATTACTAAAGAAATAAAACATGTCATGGTCTTAGAGTATATTGTAAATTTTCTATAATCTAAAGTTATGTCAAGTGCTTGCTTTGACTTGCTACTTCTTCTTGTGTTGCACGTAACCGTTTACGCTCTCTAGCGATGAATGCTGCGCTGTCTGCATAATCGCCGTATATGCAGTCATCATCATCGATCAATAAGGAACAATTATCTAAACACGCTTCCGCGTCTTTAGACTTATTCAGATCTGCGTTCGTCACAGGGGCACTTGGTTTAATCGAAGAAACTAAATCTGATTTTATTGTGTCCAGTGGGTTAGTTGTCCAGTCATAATGTAAACGTAAGAGATTAAATGCTCGTTTTGTGGTAGCTGCAAATCCTTCTGCTCGTCTGTTGAATACTTCTAATTCTTTTGGATTGTTTTTTACGCTGTCATATGTATTTCTTAAATATTGAGCTAAGTAATTGTGTTTACTGATAATGTTTCTTTTATATCCCTTATATAATTCATCGTTTTTTGTCAATGGTCGATATTCGTATTGTCTGATTTTGTCGAATTCCTGCGTAAATGATTCGGACAGTAACTTATATTCTGCGTAATTCAACTTGTGTGACATTACTTGAATTTTTTGATAAACGATGACAAAATTCAATTCGATTTTTGACTCATTGCAGAGAGAGAAAAAAAATGTCAATAATAAAAAATATTTACGATAAAGTGTTCAAAATAATTCAGTGATTTAGATAAATTCAAAAATAAAAAAGAAATCTAAGAATTATGTCACAAACAAACGTCACAAAAATATTTGACTATCAGAAGTATTGAAAAAATCGTCAAAAATGACCGACAAAAACATCAAAACAATCGACTAAATTATAAACAAAAATTATCGCTATAGCATATATGATTGAAATGGTTTTCATCTTATGGTTTTATAGATAACGTCTGTAATTGTATTTTTTGTTGCGTATAAATGGTTTATATATGCAGTGCTACTTCCGAAATTATATGATGTTAAATCGGAAATAAGGTTCCAACCATCAGCTCAGCCATTTGATGCATACCGGATCAGTAGTATAGATATATGGTTGGACGAAATGTACATTTCTATACTACTCGGATCTTCATTTATGGTTTTATAGATAACGTCTGTAATTCTATTTTTTTGTTTTTAGTTTACTATTCCCTTGGAACAAGGGACATCTTGAATCTATTTCTTTGTTCATCATTTACAAAAGATTTGTTGAACATTCTTAAAAATATTTTTTGTTCACGGATCAAAGGCTACCAGATAGGCATAGATTTGCCGGACATATGGGCTTCACCCAACCATTGAATACTAAATGCTTTGTCAATTATCAAAATTGGAATTCATTCCGATTAATTGTCATTTCCAAAGCAATAGCTTGAATATTCTCATCAATATTGAGTCTAGCCGATATTAAACCGATATTTGTAAGAGCTTAAAGATATGACGTTCAAAATACATGACGCCCATTTGAGAATACAAGTAATTCATTACAAAATCATAGTTGACTAGTTAATAGTTGCTATTGATTCAGAAAAGAACAGCAAACGATTTTGCGAGATAATCGCTGGTCGAGCTGTTTCAATCCTTCAGTTGGTAAAAAAAATCTTATTGATACAATTATCATAGACTAGCAGCCTCACCTCGATTATAGATTGATTGGGCCAAATATCATATGTTCCGAGATTCATACTTCTGAATCTAATTCAGTTGGTAAACTAGAAAATAGTTTTCAATGCTTTAAAAAACAGCAACAAAAGCTTCGCGTGCTACTCGCTGGCTGTTTTTTTCTAAACAATTTAATATTATAGAATACCTCAAGAAATAAGTCCGCTCGTGTTGCATTGGTTAGCTAATCGGTGCTTTTCATTTGAGCTTCGTAGCCTTGTGTTCACGTGTTTGATTCAATACAAAGGTAGTGGAAGAGAAATAAAAAGAAAAACTCCTGTGATCATTTTTGAATCTACGAACATTTTGGAATGACAAATAGTAATGTATATCAACTGTGTTCGAATTCACTTGAATATATAAAAATTATTGTTTGGAACTTGAAAAAAAATACCAAAAAAAAACCGAAATTATCAGGATATTACAGAGACTAGTAATTTGAACTGCAACTATGAATTAACGATATTAAATCAATAAATATTTGGCCTAAAACACAGTTTGAAAATAAGTAGTGTTCATAATCAAGATTATTAGCTAAAAATTGTCGAAGCGACTTTTTTCTTCTTCCAAATCAAAGTGATTTTGCCATACATAAACCAGAGATATAAGAACTATGTAGTAGATAAGTTGAATTTGTTAACTATATCAGATAAGACACCAACGCCCGTTGCAGCATATTTATGTCATGGTCCGCCACAAACACATGGGACCACACCAAAAATAGAAAAAGTACCATCGATCAATTTTGTGAAGAGCCAAAAGAAAATTTATGAAAATGTTTGAAGGAATGAGTTATGCCACCAATTCAGTTTAAAATCAGTCGATGAAAAGCGGCTGAAGAGCATTGCTAATCGAAATGCATGTATTCATCATCGAAATGAACAAACTCATTGCGCCATTGGTCACATATAACCATCGTTGATTGCGAGGCTCAGAAGGAGACCGCGCTTGTTAAATGCCGAAAATTCATCAAAAACCCGTTGAATCTACGACGAAAGATGAAAAAGCAAAAAAATGAAACGGATTCCTTGGGCTGGACTTCAATATAAATTCGGTAAGTAGCCAATCAATTGCCATTGCATGATACTTTTTCATCATTCGAATGATTCATTCCAAAGTATAAGATTTCGTAAAACATCCCAAATGAATTTTATTTTTCGTTTACAGATCACATTGCCTTCATCGTGCTCACACGTGTGGTGGAACGACTCAGGTGTGGATCGAAAGTCAGATACGCGTCATCGCATTTGTGTCTTCAAAGTCAAACATATTGGATCAATAGCCAAGCTTAGCAGCCCTGATCTTTGAATGAATTCAGCTCGGGTAAATAAGATTTTTATTTAAAATCCATTTTTCTTTATTACGATTTTTGATTTGTTTTCATTTTTGATACAAGCATTCTTGTGTTATAAGTGATTTATTAAGGAATTGAATTGATTCCAACCGATTAATTTCAATCAATTTCATTTCAATTTCAGATCAACTAATAACCAAGAGAGGAATAAGAGCAACCGACGACCACAATTCACCATATCAATCACGAAAAGAAAGGTGAATGATTGAATGAACTTCAAAATCGTTGACAGCTGATCTTTGTGCTTGCTTCGAATAAGGCTCTCCTACATTCTGTAATACATTGAATAGACATTTTTGCATCAAACAATTATCGAACCGATCAATACGAGAATAATATTTTGCGAGTTGATTGTAGATATAGAAATAGATTGGCTTATATCTTGAATACCAAACTTCAAATAATTGAGGAAAATCCAGTGTTCATTAATTCAATTTCATTTAATTTATTATTTTTTTGAAGCAGTACTTTCAAATAAACAACTCAAGTTGCAAACAATAATCGGATTTGAAAATATAAAGCACTCTAATTAAGCAAAATGAAATACGCTATTTGCTATGCACAAAAATGTCGACATTTTCAAATGTCGATCAGAAACATGTTTAAGATCTGAGTATGTTACAGAACAAGAGTTAAGTAGAGTTAAGTAGAGTTCAACACTTGTAACATTGGTCTGAAAATAAAACTCATGAAATCAAAGGATAATTATGAATAGAATTATAATTCTAACGATTCTTCATTTTTTTTGTTAAGCAATTCTTGGATTTTGCTGCTGTATAGCGATCAAAATAACTTATCTATGATCTGAACAAATTGGTGTTAAAGAAGTTCACCATACAAAGCGAGTAAACTGAATACTCTCCAGTTATTTTCAGGTAAATTATTCATTTCCGAACATTTATTGAAGGAACTTCCAAAAAAACACCTTTTTGTCACTTGGAAAGCACTATGTATTGTATGCTTACATGTAAGTCGAATCTAACATTGAATGAATATTGAACTGCTTTGAAAGATGAGAACAGAGCACAATTTAAAAGGTAAATATGTCTCAAGGGTAATGTGCAAAATATGATGAGAACGATTGCTATTGGAAGGGTAGTGGCTTTTTTGTGTAACTCGCCAACATAACAAAATATTGATTCATCAAAATAACGCATCAAATTCTTAATTCCTGTTACAAATAAAAAAAAGAATAATTTGCCATAGATTTGGACAGTAACAGCAATGAAATAAATTCGCTTGAACTGATTTCGCTCGAAAAGGTCGCTCATTCCCGAATAACCATCATATGTTTGAGCGAACAGGAAAAAGTGTTGAAAATGGCTCATTTTTATGACAAAAATATACAATAAACACATGCACACACTATCGATCGACACCATACATGGAATATTTCAAATACAGATTTTTAAACGGGAAATCCGATCATCTTTTGATTCCAGAAATGAAATTTTCCACTCCCAAACTCGGTAAGTATACGTATACTGAAGTGTGGAATGAGAAACCAAATGTACTGTTATCACACAAATATTGTGCAAATATTCGTTATCTATTTTTAAATTTACAAATTTCACCTTCACACTGCAATGTCAAGAGCATTTCATGAGAGAACGGTTTCAAGAGCGTTTTTGTTCATGATTGTCATCATTTATCTGTGGATTTAAATGAACATTTCTTTAATTTGTAGTTCAGAGTTTGATTTTTAGGTTTTCAGGATCTTCTGATGTTTTTCTGATTTGATCAGCTATCAGTTACACTTAACTTGATGGGCCAACCAATATTGCCTTTGTATGCCAACCAATCATGAGACAAATCGACAAACATCAGTTTTTTTTATCCAGAAAATGCTATTTAAAAACAGATTTCGATCATGCGAATAACGAAGCAAATGGATAAAATTTAATTTGAAACAATTCTATACATTTTTGTGCCACAGCTGAAGGAAATATGTGATAATGGCCAGAGAAAAAAAAAAACTTTCATTGTGTAAGTATTTGCTGCTTTGTACCAATTCAGGCTTATCACATTGCATGGATTAAATAAAGGTTATAGCGAAGTAGATTAAAATGTGTGTTTCCTTTTACTTTCTTATATAACCAGAGTCTTCTATTTTTAACTCACCGATACCCATACACGTTCGTTTGTGTGATACAGCACATCTGTACTCTGTCGCTTGTGCGTACGCTGTGCATCTCTGTGTTGTGAAACCGATTAATCTCTAGGGACCTCTGTATAGCATTCATATAGAAAGCCAAAAATCACGAAATACCGGCAAAAACAGACAAAACCAGCAAAAAGAACGAATAGAAGCAAACCGTCAAAATGACGTCATTTGTTTGCGCATTCAAATTTAGACCGTGGCATACTAATTATAAATTGGCATAGCAATTGAAGAACATCGTATGAAAGAGAAAAGAAACATTGTGAATGTGAATGAGGTCAGCGAAGAATATATTTTTCATCGGATCAGCTTCAAAGTAGTCGTTGTTTCGATTGGAGAGTCAGTTTTAAGCGAGCAGTCGAATAAATAACATCAAGAAGGAGAGCTGTTGGATATTTAGCAGAAAATTGAAATTTTTCTTCATTTTTCTTTTTTATGGATCCTATTTTGAAGAAATTTGGAGCAAAATTTTGATTTTCTAGTGTATTTAAATCATTTGCATTGAAAACAATATCAGCGATCAACACACAGGGAAGAATGGTTGAGATTTTTTTTGTACAATTGATTTTTTTT